ACCTCCAGTGAAAACAGAGAGAGACTAACGCCTGTTTGCTGTGTTAAGAGGCTGGATGCCGCGCATTAATCTAGTCACTTTACCTTCAATTATGTTCAATAATTGTTAAAATGACTAAAAAATTGAATATTAAACTTTTACAATTATTGAATAGTGTAAACTTCTTGATATTTACTAAAATAGTAAGGAATTTAAGCCCTAGAACCGATTAATGTACTGGCGGACTGATACTAAAGCTGGTTGTCCGGTCAGTGCAAGCGAAAACATGTTGAGGTCGGTTCGTAAGAAATTCGTTAACCGAATTTTTGTTCGTTAACCGAATTGAAGATCCTTATGGAAGGCAGTTCGTTAACCGAAATTTCGTTAACCGAGGCGTTCGTTAAACGAGGGGTCACTGTAATTTCATGCACTAAACCAAGATGAAGGAAATATATGAATTTCAGAGCTCCACAGAAATATAGTGATAATTAAGACATTAACAAGATTATAGCCTATCACCACATGTCAGTGTATAACTGGTACAATAAAACATATAATACTTAATTTAATAATATGACAAAGTATTGATGGTTGCACTCACTAATTATCATGAAATATACATATCAAACTAGTAAAGAAAAAGACGGTAATCGTGTATTTTATCAATTTACAAGTAATTACCTACTTACCAAATGCCACCAATGAGAAGTTTCACAATAATTTCCACAAAGGGTCAGGCGTAATATGTGTTCGTGGATGTGAAGCAACTCTTGTCCTGGTGTCTTCTGCTGATCTGTGGTATCGCATAAGTGCTGATACATGATTTATGAGAATTCTTGAGTGTGTTGGTGTTATTATCAAATTCATGTGACTGAATTCCCTCTCACACTCAGCAGTACTAGTGGGAATAACTTGTGAACAGCTCAGTAATGGCCATAAATCTTGGGGGATGCGGCATCCACCATCCTCCACATAATCTCTGAAGGCATTTATTACAGAGGAAGAAGAAAGCTTACAACTCTTACAGAGAGATGATATTGCAGCTCCTCCATAATTAGGCGGTATTTCAGCATGCCAGTAGTCTTTATCAAGGACACACATTTCATTTAGAAGGGATTTATACATACTTTGAGGTTCAGAAGAATGAGAACCTTTCAAGGATGTTGTCATGAACATACGGTGCTGCAAATTGTTTATGAGATTAGTAAGAAACTGTAGATAATTAATGGAGACAATTTTGTTGTTGCTTACTAAGGTAATTGCTCCAAACTTCCCCTTTTCAACTGCCTCTCGAGCTTCTAGAGTTTTTGTGCCAGGTTCCTCTTTCAGTCCATGCAGTGATCTTAGAGTTTGGCAAGTTTTGGCGCAGCCGCTTGGGCGCTGGCGATTTGGCGATGGACGTTTTGGCGCTAAGGACATTGTTTATTTGGAAAACTGGTTTTTATTCTACATATTTTTAAATTCAAGAGTTGATACACAAAGTAATCTAACCTAACCTAACAGATTTAACTTTTTAGGTATAAAGGTAAATTACAGTTTTTAAATTTTTTAAAGTTTGACCTTTGAATTATGACGAATCAAACGACATTTTATTTCCTAGCGCCAAAATGTATGGCGCCCAATCAGCTGGCAACCAAACGTCCGCGGCCAAATGGCTGTGCCCAATTGCCCCATTCCGGTGAACTTATGCTCCGTTGGATCTGTTTGTCTGCATAAACAATCGTAGTAGTGCGTTTCTGTATACACTCTGATAGTAAACCAAGTTCATGCAACGTGTCATACAATAGAGCCAAGTCCAAAAGAAACTGTTCTGAAGAGAGTTTTTTCAACAGACCTTCATAGGTTTTTCTGTCACTCCCAGATCTTGTTTTATTCTTCATCGCTTTTTCAAAATGAAAACAGTGTTTCACAATTTTACCACAATGCTGAAACTGTTCGAAAAGAGCTAGCTACCCACCCACCTGGTGCTCAGAACACGGCCTATTTTGCAAATTTGTTGTTCTAGTTCAGAGGCACATTCAGAAAGTCCCTTTGAGTTAGAGGTGATCTACTGTAAACAGAGTACAATTTGTCCATAAATGATTGAAAATGATTAACTCCATGAACTTCTGTCACCGAATCACCGACTGCAAGTTCTAATCTGTGATTAAGACAGTGCCAAATTATCACATCAGGGTAATGTTCCTTGAGAATTGTAGCAACACCAGATTTGACACCAAGCATTATGCTCGCCCCATCACTAGCAAATGCTACAAGGTTCTGTTTCAAGTAAGAGTCATCAAAACCATGGTTATTGAGACAGTTCATTAGATGCTTAGCAATAGTTGCAGCTTTTTGATCAGGCAGTTCAATTAGATCTAAAAACATAAAATGGGGATCACCTTCCTTATCACTTTCACATTTCAAATAAACTATTAGGGCAGTCTTGATGCTCAGGCTTGTTGAGTCATCAATGAGAACAGAAATTTTACCAATTATCTGCTTGATATGCCGGCAAATTTTCTTCTTCATATTAATGGCTATGTGCTTAATGATGTCTGTAGCACTAGTGCGAGAATGCAGGTCCAAATCCAATATCAATACCAATTTTGTTTTGAGGTTCCAGTAAGCCAAAGTGATCAGAGTATAGTCTGTCATTCTGAGCTAAATAATATGCAGAACGAAAAATTGAACAAGTTGCCTTTAGATGCGAAGCATTCATGGCGTCACATAATTTTCCAAGAGCATCTTCACTAGCTTTATTTCCAACACTTAGAGCAGCAATGTGAGCTTTTGATAGTTTGTGATCAACAGTTTTTTTTTCTGAGAGACTTCAAGCATGTACTTCGATCGGCTCCATAATAGGATACCTGGCACATTTGCCATTCATATGACAGCCTTTAACCCTTAGAAGTGAAAAGTGTCAGATTGCTTATGTTTGCACATACAGTGGTCCCTCGGTTAACTAAATTTCGGTTAACAGATTACCTTCCATAAGAATATTCAATTCGGTTAACGAATTCCTTATGAATTCCTCTCAACATGTTTTCGCTTGCTCACCAGCTGGAATATTAGTCCGCCAATACAGTAATCGGTTCTAGGGCTTAAATTTTTTCCCATTTGAGTAAATATCAAGAAGGTTGTACTATTCAATAATTTTCCAAGTTTTATATTAAATTTTTTAGTCATTTTTACAATTACTTAACATAACTGAAGTACAGGAAACTAGTTTTTAGCGCGCCAAACAGCCACTCAACTCACCAAACAAGCGTCAGTTTGTATCTCTGGCCACATCTTGCTTGAGACTCTCTTGAACATAAACTATTTTTACATTTTTACAGTACAATTATTGGTCATTCTGAAATTTATTTAACATATTGACAATATTTAGTGCAGTGCAGTGTTGATTTAAAGAAAATAATCTTGAATTACACCTTGTGAGCTTAAAATTTTATGGGTGAAATGACGGCACTTCCTTCTCTTCTCCCTTCTCCTCCACCCCCACTTTTAATTCCCATCATCAGCATCATCAACCAGGAAACTTCTACATACACACCTCAAAGTAAGTGTACTTTACTGCATTTATTTTTACTTTGTATGAAATTTTTGGTGAGCTGGAACCAATTACCCAAAATCCCACTGAAACAATGGTTTCGGTTAACAAAATTTTCGGTTAACGAATGACCTTCTGGAACGAATTGAGTTCGTTAACCAAGGGACCACTGTACTGTACTTTACACCCAAGTTTATCATCCTTGAAGTCTAACCAGGGATAAGTTTCCTTTGTTTTCTTCCACATTTCTTCAGTCCAAACACCTGCACAGGGATACAAGCCTGACTTCGAAGCACCATTACTTTCAGAACTGCATTTGGACCCGGTTAGAAAATTTGCACTAGAAGCAGGTGAAACACAGCTTTTGTCACTTTTACTATTATCAGTCTCTTGTACGTTATTCTTGTTACACTCCTCAGCTCGTTTACGAAAGAAAGAAGTTAATGTTGTTTGCTTAGAAGCGATAGGGTTTAGTGAGGAAAATTAAATTTAGTATTAGCGAGTAATCCACGGACCACCACAAATGTAGCCTTACTAATGCGACTGAGTCAAGGCAGGCTTAGCAGTGTTGCTAAGCAGTTACAAAAATAATGCTAGATTTATCCTTAAATCTGGCAAATAGTACAGAGTCAGAGAATATTTAAAGAATCCCAGTTAAAAACTTAGAAATAAAGCAAATAATTTTTTGCACCTTTAGCCACTTAAATTGTCACCAAGTAATCAAGTATGAAAAATAGAAAGTCCAATGAACTATTGCTAAAGCCACAAATATCGCTGAATATTAGCATCAAAAGTGGCAGGTTGGCAACTTTGCCTCGTACCGTTTCTCTCGCACAAATGTTTGGACAGGAAGTGTACCAGTGAGTGTCGATACTCACAATGTCCTCACACGTCGGGTATTACATGGTTAGACCAATACAAATCCTGTTTAGTCTTTAAATATATAAGAAGTTAAAGAAGCTTGAATCTTCACATAAATTATTATCGTATCAATACGAATAATAAAAAATGTCATATTTTGGAAGTGACAAATGTTATTTCCTCTTAAGCAATAAACAAACAGAGGTGCTGGTGAGCTCCGGCACCCCTGCTGTATACTGTATATCAATGACAAAAGGTATACAATATAATACTTCAGTAATTTTTGCTACCCTACTGTCCTCCCGCTCCTCTCCCAGCTGGATGCCTTCATATCAGAAGGAATATTCCATACTGTATACAGTACCATGACAGCCTGTAGCCCACTTTCTCCCCTCATGCCACAGACCCTATCTACCCTTCAACTTGCCTTAAGTCCTTCCACAGCTTTTCTGATTAGTATGTAAAGAGCCAAAAACTGTACACAAACATTTAACTGGACCATATGTATTTAACACCTTAATCAGACACAAGCAATACCAATTTGAATAAAATTATAGAAGCAGTAAGTTATGATTTAAATGTTGATGACCAGTTAAATAATTTGATAAATACATGGAGGTTACTCTACCTTTTGATCATTAAGGCATGAAAGACGTTACTTCCGGCTTTGACACCGGCAACTCTCAGATCACTTTCTGTAGACATGGGTTTTTCATCGTAGATGTCATTTAAAGCATGTAAAGGATCATTTTGTGTTGAGCTGACATCACGATTCCATTCTGAAATACAAAAGAAATACAGGAAATAAAGAAACATGGTACAGTACATTGAGTGACCAATTTTTTTTGGCTTTACCTTGGTGCACAACAAGAAAGCTACAGAGCAGTCCTGTACAACATAATATGAGACAATTATGAACTATTGTTAATTCTGACCATCCTACTATATTACATATGAAGAGGGCTTGCAAAAATGGATGGGGCAAATCAATAATGTACTAAAACAATAAATAAAGTCAAGATAACATCCAAATAAACTCTCACACTGTTTGAGCCACCACAGAAAAGCAAAACGCAAAGACCCCCAACCTACCTCTGTCATCATGTTTTGAGCATTCTGAGAATACATTTTCAATGCGGCTGGTTGTATGCACGCTGTAATAATGGGACTGGAAAAACAGTGTCCAGAACTCAGATTCGGTCATCCTGTGAGGGACGTACTCGATATGTTTCTTCTTCACTGCCGGATAAGTTTTGAACACGGAGGACATAATCTCTGGAGTCAAGTTGTACTGAACTTTCCCGTTATTGCCATCAGTCTGAGGTTTTATATCTGCCTAAAGAGAAAAAAGAAAAAGTGAGATGCATAAAGATGTAACCATAATTGTTATCACCATGCACAATTGTGCGCGCCGGCCACATGTTAAGTGTGACCGCCTGAGGGGCACACTATTGCCTTCTATTGTAGAGGCAACATCTTGATTCTCATCAGCCAACATCTTCCCGCAGGACATTATATTTGTTCTCGTTGGTCTAACCCAGACCACAAAACGTGAGTGTGATTGTGAACTGTTGAATCCTCTGAGAACTCTAAATAACTTTAATAAGTGTAATTATGTACTGTATATTGATCATATTATTCAAACTGTGTCCTGATGTATCAGCAGTTGTTTTATGTGAAATGTATTCAACAGGTTTTGACCGAATTATACTCATCGCGTCAACGACGAGGGTCTTATTGTCTGCACAGCCACAATTGCTCCTATGAGTGATTACAACAATACTATCAGCATATCCAGTAATCAGAAGCTGTGGCTAGGTCAAACAGGCCCCAGCCTTAACTTAACCTTAAACAGTATATTAGAGGCTTGTTACACTGAAAATTATAAGGACTGGTGCATATTTGACCACTATACTAATAAAACACACAAAAGGAAACTTAGAAACTAATGAAGTTCAGAAGGCATAAGATCAAATTGTATGAATCTATACTCTTTTATGGTCTATGTGATATCCATTATGCAGAATGTACTGAATGGATATGTGGATAATTTAATACTGTTAGCCTGAGACGAAACAGCCTTCTCATTCCATTTATCCAACTTCAGCCAGATAAGCAGTGATGATTCAGGTCGGGAGCTTGAACAAACTGATTATTTCGTCTACGAACCCTCAGTCACATAAATGTCTGCTTCTCCAATCATATCAATTCCCTGCCATCACCTTGAAGCATCAACAGGTTCTATTTCCTTAAGGAACAATTAGGAAGATAAGTGTTCTTTTTACAGTTTAATTATTCTTATATTTACATTTGGGACATCAGCATACACCTCATGTTTTGAGGCGTGGTTTTTTATCCACAGTTTTATTGTCCAACTCTGTAATCCATTTGTTATTTTTAATATAACCCTAATGAACTGTTGATCACTAACAGTACAGTGTAGCTGACTTATAAAATCCCTCACAAGCGTCTTAACTCCCATGTCCACCCACAGTTTGACCTTTCTGTTTTTTTACCTTTAGGAAACTTGACACTTTAACTCTCTCACTCAGTTTGAGGATGCCACTGTTAGTACTGGTAGCAGTACAGTAGAATGTCGATTAAAGCGATTCAATTTAAGATTATTGGTTTAAAGAGACACCCACAATTAAGGACAATGTTTTAATTTAAAGCGAATCTTTCCTATTTTGCTCGAGTCAATCAGGAGCATCAAATTTAAAATTTTGCACCTAATGTTTCTCTAGGCACACTACACTGTCCTAAGGGCAAAGCTGTACTGTACGTACTCAAAATAATGTACTAAATGATTATTAAAATTTTTGTCTAGTGCAAACTACAGCATGTTTATATTCAAATTACCGTATATACTCGTGGGTAGTTCGAGTTTTTAAGACCAAATTTTTAGGCAAAAAATTGGGGGTAGACCTCTACATGGGTAATAGTTTTGTTAGGTTGAGTCCGTGCATGATGGGAAGGGCGAGGAGCAACTTTTAGCTTTAGACATGAAAAATATTTACCATTTACTGCCAGTAAACAATGGAAACGTAAAATATGTACCAATTAGTAATGAAAAGCTATGCAGTACCTTCAGCAGATGAAGCTCACCAACTTACAAAAGGCTAACTTACCTTATAATGTGCTTTCAGTAGTCAATGTTGAAGTTCTTAGCACAGGCTAACTTATCGTATCATATACAGTACTCATTGATCTAAAAAAATACCAGTAATAAAAACCTTTTCGATATTTCACACTTAATATAATACCCGGTAATCCACATCAACCTCATATTGTTTACAACGATGCACGACGCACCACCAGCTGTTGAGAATCACGGTACACGTGTTTTTCAAATCGTTTTCAGTTAAAAAGCTGTTACAACACGTATATTTTACCTTAACTGCGCCTGAATGAATATATTCTCAAAAATAAATAGTAGTTTTGCTGAAATGTGATGTATTTCAATGTAAAATAGGATAAAATACATGACGAAAACAAAAGACTCTACCTAACCTTCCGATGTTCAAGAGAAGTTACTCGTTTTTTTAATATTTTTCGGTTAAAGTACTGTTATATTACAATGGTATTCTATTCATACTGGCTTGATATAATACATTCACGGAAATATAATATTTTTGCTGAAATGACGTACGTATTACAGTGGAAAGTGGGATAAAACCATGACAAAAACATTCGACTTTCGCTTTCTTTCGTTGTTCAAAAGATATTACTGTAATCGCTTTTCGAATGGTTTTCAGTTAAAAAAACTGTTGTATTACAATAATATTCCCTCCTTATTGATTTGAATAAATACTTGAATGGAAATACTGTACAGTGATCCCTCGGTTAACGAGCGCCTCGGTTAACGAGATTTCGGTTAACGATTTACCTTCCATAAGATTCTTAACTTCGGTTAACGAGCAATCCCTCGATTAACGAGTTTCTTATGAGCGCTCCTCAACATGTTTTCGCTTGCATTTGGCGGTCCACCAGCTGTAGTATTAATCCGCCAATACAGTAATCGGTTCTAGGGCTTAAATTCCTTACTATTTTAGTAAATATCAAGAAGTTTGTACTATTCAATAATTTTAAAAGTTTAATATTAAATTTTTTAGTTTAATATTAAATTTTTTAGTCATTTTAACAATTATTGATCATAATTGAAGTACAGTATAGGAAGCTAGTTTTTTGTGTGCCAAACAGCCTGTCAACACACCATACAGGCATCAGACACTCTTCAACATAAATGCTTTTTTTCTGTTTCCAAGCAAATTATTGGCCATTTTGAAATTTATTTTACATATTGACAATATATAATGCAGTGAAGTGTTGATTTAAAGAAAATAATCTTGAATTACACCAAGAGAGCAAAAATTTTATGGGTGAAATGGTGCCATGGGGTGACTTCTCTTCCACCCCAATGCCTTCTCTTCTCCCTTCTCCTCCACCCCCATTCTAATTCCCATCATCATCATCCAGGAGCCTTATACATACACACCTCAAAGTAAGTGTACTTTACTACCTTTTTTGTTGATTTTAGGCAATTTTCGGTGAGCTGGAACCAATTACCCAAAAACCCATTGAAACAATGATTTCAGTTAACGAGTTTTTTGGTTAACGAGCAACCTTCTGAAACTAATTGTGCTCGTTAGCCGAGGGACCACTGTATACAATATTTTTGCTGAAACTACCCGCGTTTCAGTGTAGTGGCGTAATAATGGTAAACAATTTGCCTTCGGCGCTCAGTGTTTCAGGCACGGTGACCCTCAGTTTATAGGACGTAGAGTGTTTTTAGTGAAGGTTTTGCTGTTCCATTACCCTCAAAAACTTGGGTTGACCTATAAACGAGGCATATCATAAATTAATGATTTCTTGGTAAAAAAATCAGGGTCGACCTATAAACGAGGTAGAATTATAGACGAGAATATACGGTAATCACTATCTTATAACAATTCCAGCAATGTAAATTTTATTCTCCCCGGTCACTTCTGTGACATTTTATAAGCAAAAAACATCAACTCAAGCTAAAGGACATAAATAAACAAATAAATACTTCACTAGACCTTCGGTGCCAACTGTCAAACATGTCACTGTCACTTACCCTCCCCCCCCCACCTCTTCCCAGCCAGAGTTTGGTGTTTTAGGCTTAAAGTTTTTATCTTATATAATGTCACAGACTAAAGTTAGGAGAATATAATTTGTATTGCTGGAATCCTTGCAAGACAGCGAATAATTTGAATATAAATGTCATATATTTTGCACAAGAGATAAAAAATTTTGCTGTGTAATAAAATTCTTAAATTATAACTAAAATTTGTATGTCTAATGCAAGCTATAACATGTTTATATTCAAATTAATCACTATCTTATAAGAATTTCAGCAATGTTAATTATATTCTCCCATGTCAGTTCAATGACATTTTATACGAGAAAAACTTAGTCACTCTTAAGGACAGATAAATAAATAAGCACTAGACCTTGGCATCAACTGTCAAACATATCACCTCACCTCCCCCTCCCCCCCCCCATCTTCCCAGCCAGTAAACAGACCATTTTGCATCCCTTAATTTTAGCTGTGTTGATTTGTGAGTGTTTGTTTTAACATAATACAGTGGTCCGAACACAATTTGTTCCTGAGGGTCGTTCATTAACCGAAAATTTCGTTAACCGAATCCATTGTTTCAATGGGATACTTATTGGGTAATTGGTTCCAGCTCATCGAAAAGTACATACAAAGTAAAAAAAAAAATGCAGTAAAGTACACTTACTTTGAGGTGTGTTTGTAGAAGGTTCCTGGTTGATGATGATGGGAATTAGAAGTGGGGGCGGAGGAGAAGGGAGAAGAGAAGGGAGTGAGGATGGAGGAGAAATCACCTTTCAGGGGACCCATGGTTGATGCCGTCATTTCACCAATAAAATTTTAGTTCACTAGGTGTAATTCAAGATTATTTTATTTAAATCAACACTGCACTGCGCTATATATTATCAATATGTTAACTAAATTTCAGAATGACCAATAATTTCAATGAAAAATGCAAAATTATTCAAGACACCAACAAAATAGATGTTCACTCCACTGTCAACAAAGCCCAGTTGATGCCTAATGGCTGAGTCAAGCATCTGATGGGAGCACAAAAAACTAGTTCTCTGTACTGCATATATTATCAATATGTTAAATAAATGTTAAAATTACTAATAATTTTAATACAGTCATGTGCCGGTTAACGTCCAACCGAACAACGTCCGATCGCATATACGTCCGTGCCCCCACCCCCCCCCAAAAAAACACAACACTTCCGTGACGCCTGCTGGACCACTCCACAGCCCCCTGACGGAGACACGATGATCCTCCCCATACTGGCCAGATATTATGTGTTAAAGGAATATCCTTCCTTCCTTAGGTATTTGCCTCCAGGTGTAATGTTAACCTACATCTATTGAGGATAAAATCTTTCACCTACAAATTGATAATAACACATTTGCTGTAATCAGACATATCTAGTTGCCTCAACAATTGCAACCCCAGTTGCAATTGGGGTTGCAATTTCAAATTCTGTGTCATCACTAAGGAATAGCGAAGTCTCTGGTACACTGCATTCTAAGATTAAGAGAAAACGGACGACTCAGGCGTCCTGAAGTGAGAGAAAACGAACTCCTATGACGGGGCACTCAAATAAAGAGACATGGCTACATGTTTTGTGGACTACCCACTGTACAGTATTGATCGTATCCTTTTCATCACTTTGTAATAAACCTAATCATGCCTGTGTGTGTTTATGATATTTACCATAACATTATACAGCTAGACCCCGACTTACGGCGGGGTTAGGGACCCAAATCCAGGTCGTAAGTCCGAATGGTCGTAAGTCCGACATAGATAAAAAAAAATTTTTTTATTTTAAATAAAAAATTTACAATGAAATACAGTACAGTAAAAGTAATAAATAATGAGGAATGGATACAGTACAGTGAAAGTAATAAATAATGAGGAATGGATACAGTGTGACTGAGAACTTACCTTTAATGTAGTCAGCTGAATGCACATGGGGCCCCCATAATTTTCTAATTATACATGGAGACTACATTAACTAGAAACGTTTCGGTATAGAAAATGCGTGTGTCATTTGGGGAAAAAAAAAAAAAAAAAGGTCACAACTGCGGGGGTCGTACGTCCCGACGGTCGTAAGTCGGGGTCTAGCTGTACAGTGGTCCCTCGGTTAACGAGCACAATCCATTCCAGCAGGTTGCTCGTTAACCGAAAAACTCGTTAACCGAAATCATTGTTTCAATGGGTTTTTGGGTAATTGGTTCCAGATCACCGAAAATTGCCTAAATTCAACAAAAAAGGTAGAAAAGTACACTTACTTTGAGGTGTGTATGTAGAAGGCTCCTGGATGATGATGATGATGATGATGGGAATTAGAATGGGGGTGGAGGAGAAGGAAGAGAAGGCATTGGGGTGGAAGAGAAGTCACCCCATGGCACTATTTCACCCATAAAATTTTAGTTCTCTTGGTGTAATTCAAGATTATTTTCTTTAAATCAACACTGCACTGCATTATATATTGTCAATATGTAAAATATATTTCAAAATGACCAATAATTTGCTTGGAAACACAGAAAAAAGCATTTAGTTGAAGAGAGTCTCAAGCAAGATGTTACCTCCACTGAAAACAGAGAGAGACTAACGCCTGTCTGGTGTGTTAACAGGCTGGATGGCACGCCAGAAACTAGTTTCTTTACCTTCAATTATGTTCAATAATTGTTAAAATGACTAAAAAAGTTAATATTAAACTTTTAAAATTATTGAATAGTATAAACTTCTTGATATTTACTAAAATAGTAAGGAATTTAAGCCCTAAAACCGATTACTGTATTGGCAGACTAATACTACAGCTGGTGGACAGCCAAATGCAAGCGAAAACATGTTGAAGTCGGCTCGTAAAAAACTCGTTAATCGAGGGATTGCTCGTTAACCGAAGTTAAGAATCTTATGGAAGGTAAATCGTTAACCGAAATCTCGTTAACCGAGGCGCTCGTTAACCGAGGGACCACTGTATATATATATTTAGTGGGTCTATATGGTCGTAAAATGGGAAACTTGGGGTTGGGTGCCTGGAACCAATTAGAATAAATCCCATAGGTTTCTGTAATTTCGGACAACGTCCATTTCAGTTAACATCACGTTTCCAAGAACGTATCTAGGACGTTAACCGGCGCATGACTGTATAAAAAATGAAAAAATATTAAAGAGCACAACTTTCTTGATATTTACTCCACTGGAAACGAATGTAAACATAGAACAGATTACTGAATTGGCAGACTAGTGCATCAGCTGATGCTCACAACAAAACGTGATGTTTGTCACGATTTCGTTAATCAAAGTTTTGTTCGTTGACCAAATTGAAGATCCTTATGGGAGGTAATTCGACCGAAATTTCGTTAATCGAACCGTTCGTTAACCAAAGGACCACTATACTGTACTACAAAAAACAATGTTTTGTTTATTCTAGGAGATGGGCTGAGGTGCATCTGGGTAGACTCTCAGTCTTTTAGTATTTTGTGTTTCACTCACGTACCAAACTAAATTATTCCATTGAAACAACACTTCGAATTAATTTTTTTAATTCGGTTTAAAGCGACCTCTCTTGGAACCTATCTCGTGTTATATCAACAATGTTCTACTGTACCACATCCTATGAGTAGGTACAGTAAAGTCAGTATGCTTGGGGTATGTCCTGCAAATACACTCAACAAATTTAGAAGATTTTATAGTCTCTGTTTGCTTTGGTCGTAAAAGTTTGAATAATCTTACAAAGGACTTAGCTATTAGTTATCATGCTGTATGTTAGTGCTCCTCCACCCAAGTCTGAACAGTGACTCCTGATGCCTCATACAGTATTAAGAATATCATCGGTAAGGTTTTGGTCATTTTAATCCTGCTTGAACCAAGAGGTTATCAGAGCAATTTAGCCCCAACTCCCCTTCAACATGCATGTTGATTGGTCTACCTTCACCCATCCCATCACTGCAGTGTACTGTACTGCTCAGGTGATGTGGGTAGTGAGAAGGTACAACTAGTTCTCAGTTTCCTCAGTTCTTATTCAGACATTGTAGTGTGTGCTCTCTACCTTTCATGTCCATACTTATACTTTTTGGAGAAATATCAGGGATTTGAATTATTCCGTTCTACTTAAGTCATTTCATATCACCATCACATGGTACATTCAAACTCAAATACAAAAATCAGAAAACAATATTAAGTATCAGAACATACACTGGAATAGACTACTGGGTCGCTAAGACTGTCAGTGATTGGTCAAATAAAGTCACTGTCATATATTAATGACAATTATCAGGCACCATTGGGGAAGAATGTTCCCCCATGTATTGTCCTGCAATCTCTTTCCAGAATTCATCCACAGAGATGATGGAGGTGGGGACCAGTGCACGGTACAGGTGGTGGAGCTGCTCGTTCTCGTCCAACATCCGTTTCTTCTCCATTAAGTCATTTGGAGGCTGCCGTCTGTTTTGGGTCATCAGCTGACTCAGGCGCTCCTGTTAGTTGTCAAGAGAAGATGGTACTACCTGTACTTGTTTCTAGATACTGTATTCTGAATTTACCTCAAAAAAGCTGAACATTCAACTTAGTATGCTAAGAAATTTTATGTAAAGTCTTGTATATCAATGAGAAAGATGATGTTTCACTCTGTATACTATGTAAGCAATCTGAGAGAGAGAGAGATTTTCTTATCTGTTTCAACCTTTACTGTCACTCTACTTTTTGTCTTCCACCAATCACTCTTCTGGTAACTAGTTCATTCCTGTCTGGTAGTTTCTGGAACCATTTATCCAGCAAAAACACAAATATGAGAGAACTGTGAAGATAACAGATACTGCACTGGTACAAAAACTGATGTGAATGTGTATATAAGACAACCATGTAGAAGAGTGTGGTAACAGCACAAAATTTAAGTACATTTTAAACACTACTCTGAAGTCTCATACAGTGTAACAAACACATAATTTTCTTACATACATGTCAACCTCTACACATTTTCTTCCCAGACTGATACAAAAAACAAACATTTTCATGAGCTACTGAGTACTGTACTGTAATTTTAAGAAATTACCTTGACTTGGTTCCTCTCAGCCACCTGCTTGTCTCTGCCCTCTGGAGTGCAGAAGTGGAATGTGTAGGAGGACATATCATGGAGAACCAATTGGAGTTGAACTTTTGGTTTACCCTCAGGTGAGATTTTTTGGGCTGGAAAAAAATATCAATTTAAATTTATTGTGACCAACAGTGGAGGTAAAATGATTTCTTCGAGACATAACAAGTTTCACAGTACTGTATCAAATATATATCTTTGATTTGGCTCTGTTCCTTTTGACTTAGCTACTAATAAACAGAAATGTGGTGACAATGACCAAATACTCTATGGATATAATTAGTACATAAAAAAGCAATGACAGATCTAGTGTGAAGGAATTACCTCATAGACAAATATTTTCAGTTCCTTTGGGGTGTTTTGTTTCATGAATCTCGAAGTGGTTCACTGTTTTGGGTCAGAGTTGAGGTGGGGATGGCCAGGCATGTTCCGTCACTTAACCGAGATCTGCCTTGCCAGGAGCTACTCTCTTACCCCACTCAAAGTTTATGTGTCTTAGTTATAAACGTAATTAGTTAGGTAGTGATCTGAGCAGTGATGTTATTAGATGTAATAAGAAGTGGACATTTTGTTTCTTATATCATAACAATAAGTTAGATAAGAAAATTTTGGCCTGGTGACCTGTGTGTCGGAGCTGTGTGCAGCGGTGGGCCGTGTGTGGCGGTGAGCTGTGTGTGTGTGACAAGCAGTTGCCATGAGGCTTGTGTGTCACCCTGCCTCACCAGTTACCTCAGTGCCGACTTGTAACTAGGCCTATGAATTGTGTTGATGAGCCATTGTTGTCTATTAGTTGTAAGTTACTTAATACAGTATAGGTATACAGGATTTAATTGTTTTATCAATATCCTCCTTTTTTATGAGTTATAGTCAAAGTGGAACCTAATAATACAGTGTAAATCAGCTGAAAATATCTAACAGAGGTAACCAAGGCATTGACATCTAGAAAGTATAACAATCTCAACAAAACACCGACATTGACTGCACTGTACAGTACTGTACTGTACTGGGTGGGTACAGGTATAACAAATTGTAGTAGCACCTTCTGTACACATAATTTATATTTTGTTTGACAGTCAAGGCAGAAGAGTGACTACAACCTTGAGTCAAAATGTCATACCTGAGGATAAAATTGTATTATTATAGTACAGTATGTACAGTACAGCACTCGATGGAAGGAAAATACTTTATACCCTGTACAGTACAGTGTTATAATTCACTGGTACATACTACAGTACTGTAGTATATTTTCAAGCAAATTGCCAAGGCTAGAGAGGTAAGTGAGTAAACATGATGTTTAAACTAACTTAGTTAAGAAAAATAATGTTGGGTACAAACTTCTGATATCATTGTAGGGGACGCTCACTGTGGAGGTATCTGACTCGTCCATCAACCAGCCAACTCGTGTCTGAGACAAGTACAGCTGACCATTGTCCTTTTTGTAGCGAACATTGTTCATCTGAAGAAGAATGTCTTCTCTTTCTCCACTCATCCTGCAATATATTTCAGAATATGAAAAAGAGGAGTAATTTTACAAAAAATTATTACTGTACAGGTATAGTAATATGACTGTATCTATGTTAGCCTGAACTCTCCAATACCTGGAATTAAAATTGGCTCACAATTTTTCAAAAAAATTCTCTCAATTCTGGGTCTGTGAATCTCCCCCCCCCCCAAACAATTTCCGTATCGGAGAGCAAATTCCGGGGATGAAATAATGCATAATTCTGGAAACTCTATCCAATTTTTTTTCTAGGCCTGGAAGCAAATTCTGAGGATGATGTAATGTTTCGACTCCCAGAAAAATTCCGGGGATGTGAGATTTTTCTGGGTTTGAGAGAGTTGTCTCGTTACCAGGAAATCTCTTATCCCTGGAACAGCTCTGCTCCAAGTAACCAGGATATCACTTATCACTATTCAGAATTTTAAGATGTTAGATAAAAGTTACTTCTTTCTCAGTAAACCCACTTTAGGTGTAACTATACAACTGAAGAATTAAATCTGGATCAAATAACTCTGTACACTGAAATAGCTAGAAACGATGGTCAAACATATCAATAAACTTCAAGTCCATAAAAGAGTGCAGGATTGTCAACCATGGGGTCGATGTGCTTCATGGTTTTGTGAGCACAGTTCACCAGTTTCTGAATGGTTGGTACAGTCGACCACAGGCATGGCTATACACCATTATCTACTAAGTGGATCAAATTATCTAGCAACACTCTGAGAACTGCCAGAATTTCAAAATGATCAATAATTTTAATTTTATTCCTGCAGAGATTCTATAAATACCCATTCTCTAGTTGATACCACCATAGACAGACAGCAGGCATGCCAACATATGAAGATGCACACGAGGATATATCAAAGTATTTCAAATTGTAGAGATGGAATAACTAATAATGATACTTTTTGGGGACTGTAGCTACATCGTGCTTTCCATTGTCTCCAGACTGAAGCAAATTGGGAGGAGGAATAGTACTTTTAATACACCATATTCAGGTTTTTATTCCCAGTTTTCTCTAAATAATGATTCGCTGCAGTTACCCACCAGTTTCGACTCTATGTTGTGCGTGACAAATACAATGCTCATTGACCAATAATATTTACCTCTACCTGTATATAAACTGACTCAAAAAAATAAAAACAAACTTCCACCCTAGGTTAGGTGGGTAGGTTTTATTGGTGTGTATATTGCCAAACTAATATATGTACACTCAGGGTCAAAAGCTTGTGTGGAGCAGTTCAACCCCAAATGGAATAAAACAGCACACCCGCACCAGATGACGGTCAGGGTGTATAAGTTCGGAGAATCATCTCGTGACACAGTTTTATTGCTTCACACAAACTTTTGACCCTGACTGTACAAGCTACATATTATTATTAGCAAATAGGAAATCCTACCTACAATTAAGATTCAGAAAAGGTCAACAATGGAACTTTACAGTATACAGGTATTGATTTGTATAAAGAAATACTGTAAAGCAAAATGCCTGCACTAGGACACTTACAGTATATCTTTGTTTACATGGGCATCAGATGTCATTCAAACATCTCATAGACCCTTCAATTACAGCATTGGTTCTTTAGGTTCCTTTGTTTTGTTGTGTTTGATTAGGTTAAGTTTACACACTGGGGAGCCAGGAGGTTGGGTTAGGTTTACACACATGGGGGTCCAGGAGGTTGGGTTAGGTTTACACACATGGGGGTCCAGGAGGTTGGGTTAGGTTTACACACATGGGGGTCCAGGAGGTTAGGTTTACACACATGGGGGTCCAGGAGGTTGGGTTAGGTTTACACACCAGGGGGTCCAGGAGGTTAGGTTACACTTTGGGGGCCAGGAGGTTGGGTTGGGTTTACACACATGGGGGTCCGTTGAGTTAGGTTTACACACATGGGGTCCAGGAGGTTGGAGTTAGGTTTACCACGTGGGGGTCAGGAGGTTGGGTTAGGTTTACATGTGGGGTCCAGGAGGTTGGGTTAGGTTTGCACCGTGGGGTCCAGGAGGTTGGGGTTAGCTACACGGGACCCAGGAGGAGTTAGGGTTAGAGTTTACATGGGGTCCAGGAGGTTAGGTTGGTTTACATGGGGTCAGGAGGTTGGGTTAGGTTTACACATGGGGGTCAGGAGGGTTGATTGGGTTTACACACATGGGTCCAGGAGGTTGGGTTAGCTTTACACACGAGGCCAGGAGGTTGGGTTGAGTTTACATAGGGGTCCAGGTTGGGAAGTTTACATGGGGGTCCAGGAGGTGTGTTAGGTTTACACATAGGGTCCAGGGTTAAGGTTTATGAGTCCAGTTTAGTTTTTACATGGGGTCAGGAGGTTGGGTTAGGTTTACACATGGGGTCCAGGAGGTTGGGTTAGGTTTACACATGGGGTCCAGGAGGTTGGTTAGGTTTACATGGGGTCCAGGAGGTTGGGTTAGGTTTACACATGGTCCAGGAGGTTAGGTTGGGTTTACACACATGGGGGTCAGGAGGTTAGGTTAAGTTTACACACCGGGGAGCCAGGAGGTTGGGTTAGTTTACATGGGGGTCCAGGAGGTTGGGTTGACTTACACATGGGGTCCAGGAGGTTGGGTTAGGTTTACACACATGGGGTCCAGGAGGTTAGGTTAGGTTTACAGACATGGGTCCAGGAGGTTGGGTTAGGTTTACACACATCGGGGTTCAGGAGGTTGGGTTAGGTTTTACACATGGGGTCCAGGAGGTTAGGTTAAGTTTACACCCGGGGCCAGGAGGTTGGGTTAGGTTTAAACACATGGGGGTCCAGGAGGTTGGGTTGGGTTTACACATGGGGTCCAGGAGGTTAGGTTAAGTTTACACATGGGGGTCAGGAGGTTGGGTTAGGTTTACACCGGGGTCCAGGAGGTTAGGTTGGGTTTACACATGGGGTCAGAAGGTTGGGTTAGAAGTTTACACACCGGGGTCCAGGAGGTTAGGTTAGTTTACACCATGGGGATCAGAGGTTGGGTTGGGTTTACACACATGGGGGTCCAGGAGGTTGGGTTAGGTTTACACACATGGGGGTCCAGGAGGTTAGTTAGGTTTACACATGGGGGTCCAGGAGGTTGGGTTAGGTTTTACACATGGGGGTCCAGAGGTTGGGTTAAGTTTACACACATGGGGGTCCAGGAGGTTGGGTTAGGTTTATACACATGGGGGTCCAGGAGGTTGGGTTAGGTTTACACACATGGGGGTCCAGGAGGTTAGGTTTACACACATGGGGGTCCAGGAGGTTGGGTTAGGTTTACACACCAGGGGGTCCAGGAGGTTAGGTTAAGTTTACACACCAGGGGGTCCAGGAGGTTAGGTTAAGTTTACGCACCGGGGGGGTCCAGGAGGTTATGTTATACTGGGATCAGCAGTGACATAAGCAAGTTTGCAGATGACACCAAAATAGGGCGGCAGATTAATTCAGGGCGGGATGCAAATGCACTACAGGAGGATTTAAATAAACTGCAGGAATGGTCAGAAAAATGGCAAATGAAATTCAACACCAGCAAGTGCAGCGTACTTAATATTGGAAGAACAAATACTGTCAATGTATACAGCCTTAACAACATCAACCTAGAGAAGTCGACTTGTGAAAGAGACTTAGGGGTACTTGTAAGCCCGGACCTACGGCCTAGAAAATAGTGCGTGAATGTTCTAAATAAGGTAAATAGAGTATTAGGTTTTGTATCTAGAAGTGTAAGTAATACGAGTGCAGAGGTCTTATTGCAACTATATCTTGAGCTAGTCAGGCCGCACCTCGATTATGCGGTTCAGTTCTGGTGCCCTTATTATAGAATGGATATCAATTCACTGGAGTCGGTGCAGCGAAGAATGACGAAAATGATTCCGGGACTTAGAAACCTTCCATATCAGGATAGATTAAAGAAACTAAACTTGCATTCCCTAGAAAGACGAAGAGTGCGGGGAGATATGATAGAAGTATTTAAGTGGGTGAAAGGAATCAATAAAGGGGATATAGATAAAGTTCTTATAATATCCGAGCAGGATAGGACTCGTAGCAACGGATTTAAGTTGGATAAGTTTAAGTTTAGGAGGGAGATTGGAAGGAACTGGTTCACAAATAGGGTGGTGGACGAGTGGAACAAGCTTAGCAACTTTGTAGTAAGTGTTGGAACGCTGGAAAGTTTCAAAAGGAGGCTAGATAGATTCATGGATGATAGAGAGTGGTAGTAACTCTCGACAGGAGCTGCCATGCACAAGCCAACCGGCCTATTGCAGACTCCTTATTTTCTTATGTTAAGTTTACACATCAGGGAGGTCCAAGAGGTGAGGCTAGGTTTACACACTGGGTGTCCAGGAGGTTAGGTTAGGTTTACATACCGGGGGGTCCAGGAGGTTAGTTTTCACACCAGGGGTCCAGGAGGTGAGGTTAAGTTTACAACCAGGGGTCCAGGTTAGGTTAGGTTTACACACCAGGGGGGTCCAGGAGGTTTGGTTAGGTTTGCACACCAGGGGTCCAGGAGGTTTGGTTAGGTTTACACACTGGGGGTTCAGGAGGTTAGGTTAGGTTTACACACCAGGGATCCAGGAGGTTTGGTTAGGTTTGCACACCAGGGGGGTCCAAGAGGTTAGGCTAGGTTTACACACTGGGGGTTCAGGAGGTTAGGTTAGGTTTACACACCAGGGGTCCAGGAGGTTTGGTTAGGTTTGCACACCAGGGGGGTCCAAGAGGTTAGGCTAGGTTTACACACTGGGGGTTCAGGAGGTTAGGTTAGGTTTACACACCAGGGGTCCAGGAGATTAGGTTAAGTTAGACATAGGAGTAGGAATAACATTATCATAAATGTCTATGAGATGGTTGAATGACTCCTGATGCCCATGTAAACAAGATATAAGGTGTCCTAGTGCAAGCAACAAAAACTCCACCTTTCTTTACAATGAGAAAAAATAGGGACAAAAACCCAGGGGAAAAATGTTACCACACCCCCCCCCCCTCAATTTTCTTCATTAGAGAGGTATACTGTCTAAGAAATAAGTTTTCTTCTTTAGAGATTTATCCTTAAGTGGCTAGTTAACACAGGTTACTCTCCTTAAATATTACCTATTTCTTTTGGTGACATAATTAATTTAAGTTAAATTTCACAAACTCCAAGTGAAAATCCCACGTACCCACATACTTAATTTATTATTCTGACAATACCCAAACAATGCCCACAAGGATTTAGTCTCTGGGGAGTATATATATATAGCTACTGTACTTCAGAACAAGACACCAACCTAACCTAACTAACGTAAACACTAGTGCGAGACCATCAGGCTAAGTTATGTACAGTACAAAAGTTTGGCTGGTTCGTGTTGTGTTGAGATGAATGATCTATATTCTGGTATTCAGAAACTGTATCTTTGCCCCAAATCAAAGCATTACCTCCCACAGCAAAATTATTAAGCAGTCCCTCTCTAGATGTTGTGTAAGTAATTTCAACATTAGCATTACTGTACTTAATGATGCAGAAACAAAACAAAAGGAGCCCAGCTGTAACTCAACAATAGAGATCAATGTTCACCTTGAAACATTACTTTCACCTAGCCGTCCACCTTAAGTACTTCAGGCTCTATATACCTCTAACTGCAGGACCAAACACTTCCCTATTAACTTCATAAACTAAACCAAAATAAATAAACCGAGTACATTAAATAAAGCGGAAGTCTTACTTAACCTATTTATTCACGAGTAGGTGATAGTAACACTTCTTACTCACCAGTGTATTGAGAGGTATCATATAAAGTTTCTATCATCACTAAGGAACTAGAACAAATAATACCACAAAATAAGACCAAATAAAACTGATACAAACTTCACACTACACACACAAGCACCAAGATTATTAACAATGGAATATTTAGGTTCACAAAGGCTTCCATTTTGTTAACTTGGATTATTATATACTGTATATTATTCATATTTCAGGAAGATTTTTTTAACATTATATTAAATTTTGACAATGATCTCCGAAAATCCACCATTTTTCAGTTAGTCTTTTTTCCACTATTTCCCCCCAAAATAGTGTAGCATATCCACTACCCACACTAATAAAGACACAGTGAAGCAGTAGTGTTCAGGTAATAGCTCCACCTCCTTCAATGATAACTAATAAACTAAACGTGATTGTATGCGGGTTTTTTTTTCATTTCTCAAAATTAATGATTTTTTAATAAAAGTAATACTAGCGATTACACATCTTGATAACAGGAATGGTAGTGGATTAAACCACAGGGTTGAAAAATCTCTAAAATATATATACAAAGGATAATGAATACATGGACAATAATGAAAAAACACGATGACATTATATCACGTCAACTAACAGTCATTCTCGGGGTTTTCCGTAATTTCGGGTAAGTCAGAACAATATTGAGGGGTTTATTGTTATCTCCAACGCAATTTATCTCTGCAATTGGTTCTGAAGCCGATGAATTACCTTAATAAGTTGTAACATTCAATTTGGTCGGCTTATCCTTGACCTGTCGTCGCTAAACCAAAACATGTGTGGCTGACGGAGCCCCCTACCGGCCGCCCCGGCAACCTCCCGTTACCATGACGACCACTCACGCTGTCCTTACATATACATTTATTCAGCAAAATAAACATATAAATTCACATTGATCCAGCATATAACCTATGTAAATATATAAGCAATGGAAAACAGTAAATCGATTCAACCAAAGATAGCCCAACAAAGATGCTAAAATATTAGCCTATTCTTACTAGGTATGAGGCAGCTACCAAACAGGGAGGTACTACCGCCTGGGAAGATATTGGAAGCATAATGTGTTGTCTAATGGTAGACCCTGCTGCCATATGGCATCACGAAAATTGTGACCAAGGACCAGGTTGCTGATCTGACTTTCTGCCTCATTTACACACAATTGCAGGGTCTCAATTGTTACACTTACATTTTCGCCCCCAGGCCCCAATGTGGGTCAGTGACCTGTGCCCGGGTGGGCTAATCCCCGTAAAAAAAAAAAAAAATAGCTTGTACAGTCACTCACAAAAGTCCTGTCGCTTCTCCTCCTGAACCACAAACCCCGAGAGCGAAACTCTTGAATTCCAAGCATTTATGGACAGAATTATACATCAGTGTCTACTGCTTCGGGTTCACGAGTCATAATCTCGGGGTTCGTGGTGAAGAGGCGACAGGACGTTTGTGGGTGACTATACAGTACTGTATACAGGGCGTCCCTTAGGAGGGTGCGGGGCCCGGGGCAACTCAGACACTGCGGGGCCCCAGAAAATATATATATGGAGTCAGATTATGCGGTCAGAGGAACCCACCCCCACCAACCACCATGGGACTGTTGCTATGGATGGTCAGGTCACAGTTGCGATGGTGGGGTAAGCCGTCAGGTCAGATTAACCAGTCAACAGGTAATGTGTCCGAGGTCACTGGGTCTAGCGCTGGGCCCCCACACGCGCGGGGCCCCGGGCGGTCACCCCTGTTCGCCCCCCTAAAGGGCCTGACTGAAAAGTACCTGTACACTTATCAGCAGTGGCGGCTCGTGCATAGGGCTGCAGAGCTGCAGTCCCCCCAGACACTCACTGCCAGGCGTATGATTCCTTTAGAGAGACAGCTGAATAATACACTACCAACAAATATATCATTTTATATGTTATTTAATTATTTTCAATACGTTGCTAAGTGAATTTTCATTAAAATCAGACCAAAATTTAAGTTACTTTCATAGTTGCTGTCAATGCTGTACGATTCATGTCTGTTATTAATTGGCGCCGCCGCTGCACTTGAAGCAGCTCAGTCTCGTACAACGTGTGGACGGTGTGGTTAAATCGTGCTTTCTTTAATTACCCTTTGACGATGGAAAATCGAGTGAAGTATTTGCAAAACATCAACTTTTCCCAGCTGACATTAAATGAAAAGACTGAAATCAAAGCAAGAGGAAGACCTACACCAGTTTTATCCATTCAACAGAACAGTACAAGCAGGAACAAAGAATATACACGCCAGTTTAACATGAGTGTTTATCAGAAATGTGAATGGCTCTGTGGTTGTGACGAGGCAAATACTTTATTCTGCTTTCCATGCTTATTGTTTGGTGGGGACTCGGCATGGACGAAAAGTGGTGTGACTGACTTGAGGCATTTGCCACAGAAAATAGTGAAACATGAGCAGTCAGCCAAACATATGAATAACATGATTAATTTATCGTTGCTGGGTAAAGTGAACATTGCAGCTCAGATTGACACAGCATACAAGCTTTATTTTCAATTAATACTGGTCCATCACCACCTCGGCCATCCCTTCTACCACCAACACTACTACCATGCCCTGGGAATTCGTGGACATCAACTACAACTCATACCTGAGGTAGGTCAAATTTGTGTATCCTACTGTTGTGTGAGGCTTGCAGTCCCTCCATTTTATTTTTCACGAGCCGCCACTGCTTATCAGCATAAGTTTACATTGGTTCAGCTTGTAGTACATAAACAATAGAGGTATACAAGCAATGGGTAGCCCAAAAAAGTTATTCACTCACTCATTTGCTTACTCATTCACATTTTTTATTATTAATCCTCTTTTTCTTCATGAACTTTTTTTTATTTTCTCTTTTATTTCCTATTTTCGTTTTATCATTTCATCACTTATCAGCTTACTAGCCGTTTGGGCGGATGACCTGTCCAGTGTTACAGTAGTACAGGAGGAAAGGCGTACCAAGGAGAAACTTGTGATGACTGATAGGGTCACCTGGGATAACAGTGACTTTCCCGCGTGTATCCAGGCCCAGGAAGTTTTTTTTTTGTTTTTTTACGGGGATTAGCCAACCCGGCACAGGTCACTGACCCACATCAGGGCCTGTGGGCGAAAATATAATGATAATGATAATAATAATAATAATAATAACTATTATTATTATTATTATTATAATTAATGAAAATTAATAACAAAATAAAAATAAAAATAAACTAATAAAATAATAATAACCATAAATACAAAAACGAAAAATATAAATACAGTGTGAGAAACGATATACATTATGTATGTTGTGTTGTCAAAGTAAGAGAAACAATTGAGACCCTGCAATTGTGTGTAAATGAGGCAGAAATTCAGATCAGCAACCTGGGACTTGGTCACAAATTTTGTGATGTCATATGGCTTCCAATATCTTCCCAGGCGGTAGTGACTATAAGACACACGTTACCGCTATAAGTCTAGACCACCTTGACTAATAACACTGGTCAACAGCCAAAATGGTTCACATATGAGATCATGCTCACACAACTAATTTCATATTGCTGAATTCGAATCTGATATTTGTTTTGTTCTATCAGACCAGGTTTTATAAAAAAATCAATAGGTACAAATATTTAATATTCCATCACGTGTCGTGCAAAAGATGAGATTATCTCATGTGACTGTGCTTTCATGACTAATTTCATATTAATGAATATTAATTGGATGTTTCATTCTACCATCAGACCTACTTTCTTAAAGAATAAAAAAAATAGTAAATATAGTAACATTATCGCGTCATGCAAGATACAATTTTAAACCTATCACAGATAAGCTCATAAAAATTGTACCAAAAAACATAAGTTCAAATCCTTTATAATGACAAAATATGAAGTTCTAAAAGTGCTTCTGAACTTTACTCTTTCTCTTGTACAGCTTGCTCTCTTCTCGTTGCAGTGTCCAGCAATAGTCGCCCATCATGTTAGGACTGAATTGTCCCTGATATCTGCTCTCCATTATGGCGATATCTTGATGAAATCTTTCGCCGTGTTCATCACTAACGTCTCCAAGGTTACCTGGAAAAATTCAATATGAGAGTGGAAAAAATGCAATTTCAAGGACATCCTTGCTCCCAATGCATGATAATTCTGAAGCATGGTTGTTACGATTTCTTTGTAGTTGTCAGCACGATAGTTTCCAAGAAAATTCTTTGACACATTGACAAATGATTCCCATGCTTTTTTCTCCAGTGGGTTCAATGTTTTGGTGAATTCGCTATCATTAACTAGTATACGAATTTGTGGTCCATTCAAGACACCTGCTTTCAAACTGGCTTCGGAAACCACACCACCTAGTTTCTGAGATAAGTATAGAGTCCCAGCACCGAATTGATCCATAGCTTTGATGAAAGTTTTAGCCAAACCGAGCTTTAGATGCAGTGGAGGCAAAAATATCTTTTCTGGATCTACAAGCGGATTGTGAGCACAGTTAAACCTTCCAGGCGCATCTCTTGGTCTTGTCGGCCAATCCTTTCTCACATAGTGCTCTGCATCAGCTCTGCTGTTCACAAGCACAAAAAGCACATGTGCTTTGTGTAGCCACTCTGAAGGCCCAGTAGTAAACTGATGACTTTGAGATCGCCACATATCTTCCACTGGTGTTTCTCATACTCTATAGCGGCCAACAGAATTTTCATTGTTTCATAGCTCTCAGTCATTTTTGTTGCGTGTGCTATTGGGACAGATGGAAGCCGACTGCCATTGTGTAAAAGAACAGCTTTCAGAGAGTCTTTTCCTGAGTCTATAAACAGCCTCCAATCCTCTGTCTTGTATGTTTCAGACTTGCAGAGTTGTTGCATGAGAGATACTGCGTCCTCGCAATAACAAAGGTTGTTTGCCATCTTGAAAAATGCAGACAGCTGTCTATGTCGGTAACGCGCTGTAGTGATATGCACTCCATCTTCTAGCAGGTTACGCTGCTTTAGTCTGGATCCCAAAACTTCAGCCTTTTCTTTTGACAAGTTTAGGTCCCTGATGAGATCATGAAGCGCTTCTTGAGTAAATAGTTTAGGCCTGTTATTTTCAGAGTCATCCTGGTAGTCGTTTTCCATTGAGGTAGAGGTAGAATCGGAATCACTCAATTCTTGTTCAGTCGGTGGATTTGGGACTGGAAGTTCAGCACTGTGCGGTACTGGTCGGATTGCAGAAGCAATATTGGGGTACTGTACCTTGCCTCGTGTCTTGATTTTTATTCCCTTAATATTTGTGAGACAGAAGTAGCAGTCACTACTGTGGTCTTTAGGTTCACGCCATATCATTGGTACAGCAAACGGCATTCCTGAACTTCGTTTACCACACATCCACTCGCTCAGGTGGTTAACACAAGACTTACAGGCTACATTATTTTGGCGCCATTTTTGCTGCCATAGCTTAAGTGAAACATTAGATAAGAAGTCTACAGTCCATAACAAGCTTTTATTGATTAATATGTAAATAGCGAGCGATTATTATTATTATTGTTATGATTATTAAATTAATATTAAGCATTTTCATCTCAGAATAGTATCTAGTAATTTACCTTTGGGCTCATAAACTGGTTGTTTAAATACACAATTTTGAGTGTTGGAAAGAATACGGCGTGCAGATCCATACGTCACCACCGCTATTAATAGTCCTATTCATTGTCCTATTTACAGAATATTGTATGAACAACACCAATGACTTACATTCTCTTGGATGGAAGTTTCATTGTGCTTCGTAAAGGTTGAGTAAGAACCTCCAAGCTACTCGAAAAATTACTAACAGTTAGGTAGAG